CTTTTACCATGACTTAAAGTACTTCTGGGCTGTACTCCGACTGTAATTGTTGAAATTTTGACAACCTACAGATCACATGGAAATATCCCACTGATGAATGTGGGTCAGAGAGTCTAGCCTTGCTCTGGCTGAACTAATAAGATTAAATGTGGCCAGGCTCAAGCAGTTAGACATTAAAAAACTGTTTTCCCACAGTGATCAGGCAAAGCTCTTGAGTGTCCTGTTTAATACACTGCCTTAAAAGTACTGAAATATTATGGGTAATGAATGACTAGTACTGCTATTAAGAGCTTATCTATTACAGATAAGATTATACACAACCTATATGGTAAAGTTGTGTTTGTATATGTGTGTAGTGGAGTGAGGGAGCATTAAAAGTCATTGTCCTCTTAGAAAAGAATCACCCCCTTTAAAATAATCACATTTTGTTGCTTTGCAGCCTGAAATTAAGATGGACACCGTTTTTGTTTTATCTAGCTGTATTTACTCGGGGCTGGGCTGATCCTGACGGTGTGACACCACTCCATCTTGTTTATTTCCCCTGATGTAAAACCTCTCACTCTCTGGGTCAGTGATTTCGCAGGGCTGGGTCAGTTGTGCGGCATTTCTTGATTTATACAGGAAAAACCTTACTTGGCAGATACTTGAGCATTTACATCTAAACACAACTTAGTCTATCTGAATCCTCACAGCTACATTTTATCACTCAGAGATGTTTTTAAATGAACTTAGTCTTAGACATATATTGGTCACTAGAGTTGGTACTACTGGCTATAGAAACAGCTGTCTGTAAACAAGAAGCCTTTGAAAGAACGATGTGGGAAATGCTATTAATAACCCAGCTAAACCCAATCCTGCTGGTCACATGTTTTGATGCATCAGTCCCTGGTTGCTCTTGCCTCTCTGACATGTGGCATCTCGAACGTCACAACATGTAAACAATGACCGGCAAGATTCATATCCTCTGCACCTCAACACGCAGCAGTCAGACACGCTGCTAAATATAACACTGACCCAACGCTTGTCACTTCACATAAGCTCTGGAATGATGCTTGGTTTCCCATGAGTCTCCTGTTAGGTTTGCTTTTTTCTTAAAGGGTAAAGTCATGGATTTTCAACCAGCTTTGTATTGTTACAGTTTCCCAGCATCAGTAGTAAATTAATAATGCGTAATATTATATTTCAATGTTACCTACACCAAGATATCCCCATTTGTTTGTCCGCTAATGTAATTTTACGTCATCTGACGGACTTTTAACAGCTCCAGGGCTTTTGCGGAAGCTACAGATTGTACTTCTGCGTTTTTGTATCCTTGCTCACAGATATTCTGATAGAACCCTGCGTATTATGGATGTTAAAGTTTTTCTACTTTTTTGCCATAGCCCTTTTTCTCTGTTTTCTCTAGTGATGTAGCACCAATTAAAAAAAAAATCGACTTTTGTTAAAAGCCCATCTTGTCAGCAATGAATTACCTCTTTAAATATCTCACATAAAAAATAAAGTTTCTTTTTTCTGACTCTTGATTTTGTATTTTCATACATGATAATTGTTAGTTCTGCCCTGTAAATGCTGCTACTGGATGTCACGCATAACTCCATGCATAACCTGTTGTTGTTGTTATATTACATTATATTAATATTATTATTAATGTCTGCTAAATAAATAAATAAAATAAAAAATCCATCATAATGAAAACAATATTCCCTGTTTTATGGTTATTTTGTTATATTGCACCCTTTTAAAATGGTAACAAGTGTGGTTATTTAATTTCAAACCTTTTTTTGTTTGCTCTCACAGATACCGTGCCTAAGTGTTTGGACTCTGCTGTAACCCTAGATCAGCCTGCAGCACCATCTGTGAGGTGTAGCAGTACTCATCCCTGAACTGGTCCTGTCTAAATGCTCTCCATTGAAATGTTTATGGGGTTTAAGGTTAAAAAAACTGTGATGCCGTGTCCCGGAGCGACGAGACAAAGACATTCAAACCCATTAAAAACGAGGCATTTGTTGCATCCAGTGGGGACATAATTATGGATTATAATTAGGGCTGGGTATCTATTCAGATATCCCGATTCGATTTCGATTCGCAAGCTCTTGATTCGATTCGATTCTCGATTTTTTTTTCAATTAAATTCAGTAAATCTAGTTAATACAAATGCTATTGATATTTCTAAAAAATTTACCGTAAACATCAGTTTACAAATAGTAAATTAATAAAAATAAATGAAGAACCACATGCCTGTATTTTAAACCTATTCTTTTTTTTTGTATAGGGTCCTTTTTAAACAATAGTAGGGCCCTATAAAATGTTCTTAATTTTTCTGGTAATCAGATGACATCAGATGAGAAAACATTCATTTAATTTATAATCAAATGAAAATTAAACCCTTTTATGTTTTTAGCAAACAAAGTGCTGCACAACAGAGGTTTACTGTTCAAATAAAAAATAAAACGGATGTGATTATTCCTTTAAAAATACAGTTTTATTCATATTTACTAGCAGTAGTAGCATTGAGTCTTCAGACTGCTAAATAGTAATATATTCTGACAGTTTAACGTTAAACTAAACTTTTATTTTGACGGGTTGCCGTGAAGAACTTCCAGCTGCTGTGTATGTGATATGACGGAAGTTTTCTCAAATGAAACGGTAAAATGCTAATGAAGTGACTCTCAAGAGCAGCTGGAGATGACATTCATGTTCATATCATCATATAGTGAGACGGCAGAAGCTGAAAACACCGCAAGCGTCATCGGCGCTTTAGTATGTGTGTAGTAAACAAAGTGCACTGCACCATCCGCCATTCATTTATTCATTGCGGAAATCATGGCGCCTTATGCGTGATATCAAATGCTTCCGCAGATTTATAGTATTACTATAGCATTTCACCTGAGCATTGCGAATTGTGCGTATGGCCATGATAAGCACTGAATGAATGACAGGCTTTCTGTTGTAACATCGTGCAAGGTAAATAAGGGTGACATCTAGTGGAGAAGACTAACGATAAGATTCACGTTAACCAGATCTTGTTTTAAATGTGCTGAAATAAATCCCGGAAAAGATCGATTCGTGGCTTTTGAGAATCGATATCAAATCGATGTCATTTTAAAAAACGATTAATCGAAAAAAAAAAAATTTTGCCCAGCCTTAATTTTAATGTTATAATGTCTTTTTACACGTTGCATCGTGCCACGTAAACATAAAACCATGTCTGCATTTGTTATCGGAGAAATAACAAACAACAAGCGCTACTCTACACTGCTCAAAACTCGCGTTTGAATCATCAGTGGCAAATCCTTTAAATATAAAAAACTTACTTACAGGCTGTGAGTCAGCATTATTTGTCAGAACACCGGCATTGTAGGCTACTCTCCCAGGAAACAGTCCTCGTCCTGCATAAAATGCATTGCACACATCTGAATATTTGGTTTGAACTGTTCCGGAACAGTGTTGTAAATACAACTTAACCACTGATTTCTAGTTGTCGTCTTTTGGAAGGCTAAACAAAGTAGTTTAGCTTTCATAACGAAACACACAGCGTCGCCACGACATGGCAGCACAACAATACTACAGCGAGAATCAAAGTTACGCCGCCTTTCTTTGCGTGAACATTTGGGCGGTGTTATGCAAATCTTCCCACACAGTGATGTAGACCTGTGGGGGCGTGTTTAAACTAGGTGATTTAGGAGGGCATGAATGAGTCTTAACTTTTATAAAGAATATGTCTTTGGATTTGAGACTTTAGTCTTTGTAACTTTAGGGATCTTATCTATTCACAAACAGCTTGTAACATTCCAAAGAGAAAGGAAAACTTGAAATCGCATCATATGACCCCTTTAATTAAACCAGAGAATGGCTTAAACCTGTACTTGCTGAGAAAACCCCTCAAATGAAGATCATTCAGAGACATTCTATTGTTTCATTAAAAAGTGGCTTTAGAAGTCATTACATTTTTTAATATCACCATGAAATAATGAATCATATTTCTTAAGTAAAATGTGAATCACAAAACAATGTAAAATGAAAGTGCATGGTGTTATTAATTGTATTTGGCCCTTTTATAAACCCAGGTGTCTCCCAGCCCATGTGTGTTCCACTTTAGAGCTCTTCAAAGCAGTTTGTGTCTGGGAAATTAAAACTTTGACAAGGACATCTGTCCGTTTTCAAATTTGCAGTTTTGCATTTCACCCACTAGTGCCACATCAAACACCGGGACGTAATTACTCTGAGTTTCATCTGCCACCCACAGCTGTCATCCTCCTCTGCGTCTCCAGTAATGCATTTTATTTGTCTGCGTGTGGCCCTGTGTGTACCCAGAGAACTTTCTGCTGTTGTTGCAGGTTTCTTTTGCACTGATCAGAAACTGAGTTTCAGCGTGTAGTTTATAGTGTCAGAGTGCTTGTCATTGCAGCACAGTGGAGCTCACGGTTAGTGTTAAAGGTGTGATACTTGACTCTCAGGAAAAACACAATCAGAAATACGTCTGGTAATCACAGTTTACATGGTCACGACCTTTAACCTACTGCAATAAGACATAACAGCTTGCAATAAATACACACCCATGTAGTGGACATGAAATATTGTTAACTTATTTCCGTCTTGAGATACATAAGAGCTTCTCTAGACAGCTTCTTGCATGTCAGAGTAGATCAGTCTATTAAAACAGAAGTTTTCTCAAGGGCTTGAGCACTGAGACTGTTGCCTCATTCTTGTTTAAAATTGAGGAGCTGACCTATGGCTTTGAAAGTGGCTGTTTTAAGTTTCTTGGAAAAAGTTCAAATTTCTTTAAAAATGTATTGTTATTTTGTGCAGGAGAGTGAGAGTTTGCATTTATGCTTTTATGTTAAATTCTGACATGTTCGAGAACACTCATAGGAGTAAATCCTCCTACGTGCCCATCAGCCACTATTAGGCTAATCCACCATATGTTTATTCATTTTTGTACTCTAATTCAGCTACAAAGGTAAAGGTACTTGGCATCTGAAACTGAAAGCATCAGCATTATGGAATGGTGTCCTGCCAGTGTAAAAGTTTTGTAAGCTGTCTGTCATCTTTTACTCATTTACAATCTTAAGACTTTAACCTATCATTCAGACATGTATATAACTACTGTACCAGCGTGCACCAGTCTAACCAGGCCAGGGGTGCTGGCATCCCCCCCTCCAAACCCAACAAGAAAACACCCACACCTGGTGGGGCACAGTTTGTTGGACTTGAACTCTACAAAAGACTCAAAGAGTTTCTGAGGAGCTACCTGACGAACCTTCTCAAGGTAGTGCATTGGTGACTTTTTTAATTAGTATTTAAAGCAGATGAAAGAACTTGGAAGCTTATCTAATTGAACACTATATGCTCCTTCTGTGCGTTGCAACAGAAATATTAAACAGTTAAACTCTATTGTAATGTTTCTAGAAGCCTATTTTTCCTTGAATATTGGAATTGTATTTATTTGTTTATTTTGGATTTTTTTTATGTTGTTTTTTTTATTACAGACACTGTATGTTTGCACCGGTCATAACAGAAAATGAGAAATTATATAAAATAACATTACATAACAAAAAAAATATTAACTATTGATATGGTTTGGTGTACTGAATAATACAAATTTGAGTGAGGTGTTTTTTGTTTTTTGCCTCGCTAGAATAGATAACGGTGTGAGTTGTTGTCACTTCTCCAGACCTCACTTCTCTTCCTGTTTCTCTCCTCCATCTGTCTGTGTCTGGCAGGATGGAGAGGACCTGATGGATGAGAGCGTTCTGAAGTTCTACACGCAGCAGTGGGAGGACTATCGCTTCTCCAGTAAAGTTTTAAATGGGATCTGTGCTTACCTCAACAGACACTGGGTGCGCCGAGAGTGTGATGAGGGCCGGAAAGGAATTTATGAAATCTACTCGGTAAGAGAAAGCGCACACACCCTTGCCTGACTCATAGATTCCTTTTACCTTTCCACACATTGTGTTGATAAAACGTGGATTAATGGCTATACTGTATTGTAGTTTAGCTATATTTATAGCTTATAATATCCGATATATGCACATCTGAGAACACACATCAGCTGTATCTGGTGTGTGTATTAACACTAGCACTGGGCCTTTTTGAGAGAGTTGATGACAGAACTGTCTCTTGAACAATGGGCTTGGTGCATTGGCACTAAAACATTAGTTGAGCATTAGCATTAGTTGATCTTGTGCATGTGTTGCTATGTTGTAAAAACCTAAATGTTTGGTTTACTGTAATGTATTCTGTTGATTTAAACTTAATACCAAGATTTATTCCTTACTGGTCAACCCTAAACTATATTTAAATAATTTACTTGGCAGAATAATTGTTTAATAATAATGATGGTAATAATATTTATAATTATAATGTGTTGTTGTTGTTAGTTTTATAGATGTTTTTTATTATTATTATATTATTTAGATTTGTTTTGTAGTTTATAATAATGGTAATAATTGTTATTATAATTATTACTATCATCATCATAAAAACAAATCTGATTACTTATTAAATATAGTCTTTTATCATATTAAAATTTTAAATAATTGTCATTTTATTAAATCAGTAGGCTTATGTCTCATTGCCGGAAGAAACAGTAATCTAATCATTTCTAATAATGTGTCTCTTTCACAGCTTGCTTTGGTCACTTGGAGAGAGTGTTTGTTCAGACCTCTAAACAAGCAGGTGAGTTATCTGTTTATATGCTTCATTTATTGGCAATTCATAATATTCCATTTGTAAGATATTTGTTTCTTATATTTCCATCAGACATATTCATCAGAATTTAAATACCCTGTCTTTTCTTTTGAATAGGTGACAAATGCTGTGTTAAAACTCATTGAGAAGGAGAGAAATGGCGAGACTATAAACACCAGACTCATCAGTGGAGTGGTGCAGTCCTACGGTGAGTGTGGCAGCCTTACATTCACATCTGTCCTATGCTGGCCTCACAAAACTTGCCCTAATTTGTTATATCGTTAATTCCGTCTGAGCCAGCTTTTGTCCCTTAAGGGTTTTTTCAAATCTTGCCTGAGTTGTTTGGGTGAAATAAACACAGTGCTGTCTGGCCTCGTGTTGTGATTTGTCTTTTCCAGTTGAGTTGGGCTTGAATGAGGATGATGCGTTTGTGAAGGGGCCGACATTATCAGTTTACAAGGAGTACTTTGAGACACAGTTTTTGGCTGACACAGAGCGCTTCTATACACGGGAAAGCACAGAGTTCCTCCAGCAAAACCCTGTTACCGAATACATGAAAAAGGTAAACTAGAGTCTCAAATTCAAGTTTGACATTATAATGTAAATTGCAGTGGATTTTATGGGAAATTTGGTTTTATTACATTTTTAACTGTACATTTCTTATTATGTGTGCAGGCAGAGGCACGGTTGCTGGAGGAGCAGCGGCGGGTACAGGTGTATCTCCACGAGAGCACACAAGACGAGCTGGCTCGCAAGTGTGAGCAGGTCCTCATCGAGAAACACCTGGAGATCTTCCACACGGAGTTCCAGAACCTTCTAGATGCTGATAAGAATGAAGGTCAGTCAGTGCTGCAATGTCAACTTCGTTCAAGCAGTATATGATCTGAGATTTCAAACATGCATAATAGCACACTTAGTTTGACTGTCAGTACATGTTCGGGGGAATTACAGATCTTGGTCGGATGTATAACCTTGTTTCCCGGATTACGGACGGATTGGGCGAGCTCAAGAAACTCTTGGAGTCCCACATTCATAATCAAGGGCTGGCTGCTATCGAGAAGTGTGGAGATTCAGCGCTCAATGTGAGTCATGCTACAGCATAATGCCACAGTGACAGTGTGGACACAATATTTTTGGTCTGTAGCAGCTGCTGTGGAGAGGAATTAAAAATTTAATTGATATAACTTGTCTAAAAATGTGTCAAACCTGTTGTAACTACAGCTAAACCTGAATTTCCTGAACTTGGACCCTCACTTCATTGTACAACAGGTCTATTCTTACCATGACAATATGACAATAGTTATTTGTCTAACTAGGCTTTTGCCAAAATTTTCTTTCATCTGGCTATACACGTAATTGTGTTTCAAAGATATGACTCAACGTTGCTTTATGTAAGCCATTCAGTAGAAATCAAGTACTCCTTTGTCGACGCCAAACCCAGAAATAGTTAACTCTGTCAATAGTGGATTTCTTTTTTTCTTTTTTTTTCATCTTGCATGTTTTCCGGCATCTCTGGTCCATGCTGTTCCTGTAATATCTTAATTCGATCAGAGTTTGAACTGCCACTACTTGTTTTCCAGGATCCCAAAATGTACGTGCAGACAATCTTGGATGTTCACAAGAAATACAATGCTCTCGTCATGTCTGCATTCAATAACGATGCTGGGTTTGTGGCAGCACTCGATAAGGTTTGTGATCTATATTAAAAGTCAGTTTTGTTGGTTTTGAGCTATAGTGTTTATGGTGTAACTTTCACTCTGTGATCTGTGCTGCTCTCCAGGCCTGTGGAAGATTCATTAATAATAATGCGGTAACAAGGATGGCACAGTCCTCTAGCAAATCTCCTGAGCTTCTGGCCAGATACTGTGACTCCTTACTGAAGAAGAGGTGAATTCATTGTCTTATTCATTTTCCCATTCTTGATCTGTTAACATGTGAATCTCTCATTCGTCAGCCAGATATGAAAATGAAATCCAGTGAATGTCTGGTACGTTATTGCAAACACATCAGTTTATGTTTTAGGATTCGAGGCTTGAATATCTGAATACAGTATTCTGACCGAATAATAAAAAGAAGCTGCTGCTTTTAGGATTAAAAATTTTTTTTTTCAAGAATGAAAACTGCATTAGAAAGATTCTATATGTCAAATTCCACCAAAACATATTCCAGTGCACAAGCTCAAAAGATAGAATTTGATATTATAATGGTCTAGGAAAGCTTGTTTGCTTTTAGTGTTCAGCAGTTACAGGAATCCACATAACACAGATGATTATACCGAGTGTGTGTTTCGTTTAGTTCAAAGAATCCAGAGGAGGCTGAGCTAGAAGATACTCTCAACCAAGTGGTGAGTTTCACTGTCCTCCACTGAGATTAAAGATCAGATTTGAAAAGTTCCTTAGTGTATTAGGGATCTCTTCCTTGAATTCATAACACTAACAATTAATGTTTGCTCCGTTTATTAATGTGTTGTTAAATGCAGCCATATCAAGTACGTTTTTTTTTTCCTCCCCAGAATCTGAGTGTGTGTGTCTGTATGTATGTATGTACATTTATATAATTGTGTTTCAAAGATATGACTCAACGTTGCTTTATGTAAGCCATTCAGTAGAAATCAAGTACCCCTTTGTCGATGCCAAACCCAGAAATATTTATCTAATTTTCTAATATTATTAGAAATAGTAATGTATATCTGTATATAAACAACTTTGGTTTTCTGTGGTCTATTTGATGATGCTTTATCAAATGAAATGCTTGTGAAGTGACTCTCAGAGCAGCTCTGGAGATGAAGCTGTGTCATGTGTAGTGTCTTCATATGAAGTGAAAAGGTAGATGCTGAAAATAGAGCATCACGCTTGCTTGAGACATGCAGAGCATGCCGACTACAAATAACTTTATATTGTTTAATAATCACAGACTTTAGTCCTGATTTCTTTCATTTTGATTTAGTAATTCAGAATTGACTAAATTCTGTGTTAAGACCAGTTCACACCTCACCAAACAGACACTGACAAATGGCAACAGACGCATGGGTCGGGTTTTCCAGATCAGCGTGTTAGTGTTTGGTCATTTGTCAAGTCTTGGAATCCCTGATGTTCAGTAATCTGGTGACTGTCAGCATTGGTCTTTGTCTACCGGTAAGGTGTGAATTGGCCTTTATACAGTCAATTCTACAGAATTCTATGATTCCATCAATTTTCTTGGCCCTAGATTAATTTACCACTAATAATAGAGTTATGCTTACTGTATATACTGTGTAAGGGGGTCTGAATACTTTCCGTACCCACTGTATATATATATATATATATATATATATATATATATATATATAAGCAGTAGTTCAAGGTATGCAAAACATTTTTCAAACATTAGTATTGGTTCAACATGCACCAGCCATTTGACATGGGTTTGGTTATTTGACGTTTACATTCTTCATCCAAATTAAATTTTTACATTTTGAATAATTCAAATTCATGCACAAACATCATTGACTTTTGTCAGCCTGGTCAAATAACAAGTCAAGAAAGAGATTGTGGTTGATTATTGCTTTCATTCTCCTTTTGATGTGATCGGCACATACAGTGTTCTATCCAGGTGTTCTGTGCATACAGAAAATCTGCAAACTGTGCACGTTATACATACCGTACGTACAAATGACAGTGTAATTTAATTCATTTCATATGAATGTGTGACTGATGAGATTCTCCAACATCCTTCATCATCAGATGGTGGTTTTTAAGTATATTGAGGATAAAGACGTGTTCCAGAAGTTCTATGCCAAGATGCTGGCCAAAAGACTGGTGCACCAGAACAGTGCCAGCGACGACGCCGAGGCCAGCATGATCTCCAAACTGAAGGTCTGTGCGCTTGTTTAGTGAAGATGGCTCACTTCACTGCTCTTCATTTATCTCTAATGGATGCTTAACACCTTTATTTTTTTTTTCTTCTGTCCACCCTCAGCAAGCATGTGGTTTCGAGTACACCTCCAAACTACAGCGCATGTTTCAGGACATCGGCGTCAGCAAAGACTTGAATGAGCAATTCAAAAAGCACCTTTCCAACTCGGAGCCTTTGGACTGTAAGTCACTCTGGTTTTACATTGATTTCTCCTGGTTGTTTGTTATCTGAGAGTGTTTATAATATAACATGCATGCGGTCATTACTGATGAAAAAAAATCCGTCTCCATCTGTCTTGTAGTGGATTTCAGTGTCCAGGTTCTGAGCTCTGGCTCGTGGCCGTTCCAACAGTCTTGCACATTCGCTTTACCATCTGAGGTGAGATGCTCAGATGCTTAACCCTGTAATTTTCCAAGCCCTTCACACCCTTCCACGAGCTGAGAATAATGTGTGATTACACTTCAAGTTGATGATAGTTTTTCAACGCCTTTGTTTTTCACAGTTGGAGCGGAGTTACCAAAGATTTACAGCTTTTTATGGAAGTAGACACAGCGGGCGGAAGTTGACATGGCTTTACCAGCTATCCAAAGGGGAGCTGGTCACCAGCTGCTTCAAGAACAGATACACTCTGCAGGTTTGTGTCTTCTTCATGGCTGCATCATGTCAGTGGTAGTTGACAGCATGTACTGGGACTCATTAAAGAGCGGGTCATATGGGTTTTCATGTTTTTTTTTTTGCAGTTTGTAACATAGCTATCCTTCAGTGTAAACAGTCTGCAATGTTGTTAATCAAAAAAGTGCATGATAAATAAAAATATTGTCTCCCAAGAGAAAGAGTCGACTCTGAACCGCCTTAATGAGTCGTCATACTTTCGAATCTTCTGTTACCTATATACGTCACAAGGTAATATATTTACATAATCCCCGCCTGCTCATGAAATATGAACACTGACCTGCCCACAATCACTTCCGCTAGTTGGTGTGTTTACATCATGTCGAGAAGACGCTGTTTTCAGCCTCACTGGGCATTCTAACACAGTTCCCACACGTGCACCTCATATAAGTAAATAGTAATAATAATGAATGAATGAATGCCGTAAAACTGCTGTCACATCACGTAAAGTACCACATACAAAGTTTAAACTTACCACTGAGAAACGTCCTGATCAAGTCATGCTTGTGATAGAGTTTCCGGTTGAGCGACTGCATCGGGTTCGGGCTCAAATTGATAAGGTAATATCGATGCCATTTTTGTAACCTTATAGCATCTTTGTTTACAAGTAACCCTCCGGAGCAAATCATTTATTATGGTAATGGGCGTTTCATTTCCGACACTCATACGGAAAGACCAATCACAACAGACTTGGCCAGCTGACCAATCAGAGCAGAGTAGGCTTATGGAAGGGAGGAGTTTACAGACCTTAAACTGCTTCGAACGAATCGTTTCGAAATCATTGAAAAATGATTCTAATATTAAATGTACTGTATATTCTGAGAAAATTACAATGTTTTCTGACCTTAAATGCATTTAAAGGATTAGTTCAAATTTCTGTGACTTACCCCCATATGTCATCCAAGATGTTCATGCCTTTCTGTCTTTAGTCGCATAGAAATTATGGTTTTTGAGGAAAACATTCCAGGATTTTTCTCCATATAATGGACTTCAATGGGAACTGACGGGCTGAAGGTCCAAATTGCAGTTTCAGTGCAGCTTCAAATGGCTCCTCTACAGGATCCCAGCCGAGGAATAAGGGTCTTATCTAGCGAAACCATCGGTCATTTTCTTAAAAAAAATAAACATGTACTTTTTAACCACAAATGCTCGTCTTGCTGTTGTAGGGGGACTCCAATACAATATTAGGACACTTTAAAATACCATATGACCTGTGCTTTAAGAAGGTTGTAGGACTCAGCTGGCACAAGTGTCAGCATGTGTTTGTGTCGTGTCCCCGCAGGCCTCCACCTTCCAGATGGCCATCCTGCTCCAGTTCAACACAGAGAACAGCTACACTGTCCAGCAACTGGCCGACAGCACACAGATCAAAATAGTGAGTGCAGTGCCATTGCTTTATATCCCCATAACAACATTCACGTTAGTCAATCAGTAAACTTTGATCTCCATCTCGTATAAAATTCATACTTGGAACTAGGGATGTCAATTTTCGATCATTTCCATGATCGATCGTCATTTAAATTAACGATCAATTAATCGTTAACCTTAATGCTGCAAAATGCGTCTATGCAGCGCGGCATGACAGGATGTGCAAAAGTTACTCAAAAAAAACCCCGCTTTCTCACCCGATTTAAAGGGGATTTAGTCTGAGTAAAATGCTAGTAGCAGGATTGTAAAATGAATAGATGTGATTATGATAATTTGATAAAATGAAGAGAGCTCGTTTGAGATCATTTTACTTTGTTGACTGTTTCCTATCCCGTCACGGAGACCGCTGAACGAGACTCTTTAAATGGTTTCGTGGTGCTCATTATTGTATTTTAAAACACAATTGCAATGTTTTCCACTGACATTATGGCATGTAAAATAAAATGATCCCAAACGTAACTGTGGCGCGTGTGGCTGTGCTGCGCAGTCAGTGAACCGCTTCCATCGGCGCTGCTGCAGCAAAACACACTGTTGCTCACATCAAACATTATCATGCGAGTATTATGACCAGTACTTCATTTGATCCTGCTGGATCCTGTTCCGGAAAATGTCAGATTTAGAATTTTTGCGTTGCGGGAGGCCTATGTTTTTTAAAATCCGGAATTTACAGTACATTAGATCGTGACAGTGCATGCGTGTACGAGATGGAGCGAGCACGGGTTTGACGATGTATTTGGAGCTTATTGCTCACGTCTCATTCGGCACAAATCCAAATGTTTCCATATTCGTAATGTATTTGAATGTTAAACTATTATTTATAATGTAAACTAGGCTTGTACTTTACACGCATTCAGTCTCTGTATTATTTAAAACACTGTAAAAATGAGTAATTTTAGCGATGCATTTTAGTTTTTGTGTGGGCATTGTTTTTTTGTTTTCCTGATTTAATGTTTTTGTTTTGCTTTTTGCATTTCACAGGATATTTTGGTTCAGGTCTTGCAAATCCTGTTGAAATCAAAGTTGCTGGTAAGTGTTGAAAACTAATTGCTTATAGGACCCTATAAATGTCTTTCAACATCAGTGCCATTTATTTGTATTTGCCCTTTTTTCCCCGCATGCTTATGGTTTCCATGTGATTCCCTTAATTGTTTACATTTCTGTTTAAATATGACTGTTTTTGTGAATAATTTTATATTTATAATACAATTATAAAATGTAAAGATTATTTAGACGACTTGTTTTTTTGTAGGTCTTGGAAGATGAGAATGCAAACATAGATGAAATGGATTTCAAGCCTGATACATTAATCAAACTTTTCTTGGGCTATAAGAAGTAAATGCATTTTCTTACTGTTTCATGTTTGATCTGCGCAGTATACACTAATAATTGACTTTCAGTAACATTTAAAAAAAAATAGTACATACTAATATTTTCAAATATTGTTAGGGTTGTATATTTGTCATCTGCATATCTATACTGTCCTTCCTCTGTGTGTGCAGTAAGAAGTTACGGGTGAATATCAATGTGCCAATGAAGACGGAGCAGAAACAAGAGCAGGAGACGACACACAAGAATATTGAGGAAGACAGAAAGCTCCTCATACAGGTATTAAAAATAAACTATAACAATCCCTTGATGTTGAAATAAAATATTCTTTTGAGTCTCCCTGTTGTGTGTACAGGCAGCTATCGTGAGAATTATGAAGATGAGGAAAGTTTTAAAGCACCAGCAGCTTTTGGCCGAAGTGCTGAACCAACTTTCCTCACGATTCAAACCTCGTGTTCCTGTCATCAAGGTAACAGGGCGCTGCAATTTGATTACTTATGAAGCATTAATTTGAAATATTAAAATGTGATTATTTTTTTCAGAAATGCATTGATATTTTGATAGAGAAGGAATACCTGGAACGTGTGGATGGGGAAAAAGACACTTATAGTTACTTGGCATAACAATGTCCTCTGATGTCCTTAGATATTTGAGGAATAAAAACAGAGCGGAGCCAGACAAACAGAGGATTCTCTCAAAGATCTCAAGGCATCGTTGCCGAGTAGGACAATGTGACACTGGACTTTTCCCTTTAAACCCAGACTGCTAAAGCGGCCAGTCTTCTTCATGCCCTTAAGCTGCTCAGGATTGCCATTTACTTTTTAATGTGTAAATATTGGACATTGAACTATGCTCATAGTGGGACCCAGAGTCAGGGTTGCATGCTAATGCCTATCATTATGAAAATTACAAAATGCTGATTAAGTTAAATTACTTTTGGAAAACTGACAGATTAAAAAAAAAAAGGCTGTTGGTTGCAGACAGAAATACCTAGAGGTAAGAGCGCTCTGAGAATAATCATTTCTGATTGGCTGTTTAGAGCTGCATTGTTACTAGCCACGAGAACACCATTTGTATAGTGCAGTTCATTTTATAAATGTCATGAATAAACGTAATTTTTCTTTATGCGTGCTCAGTGCTAGGTTTTCTTTTATATTCTTGTTCAAGTGGCTGAGCTGAATTTCTAGCCTATCGTAATTAAACAGTACAGCAGACACTTATTTTCAACGTTTATTTTATCACGTTTAACAAGTCCCTGTAAACAATTTAACAGCACCTTGAAATTGGAAGCGAAAACATGGAGATGGAGTGGTCAAAAACCCTCAGGAAAGAAAGAATAGAAACAAGAGGGGAGCAACAGGTTCAGAGGAGAAATGTGGATTAAAATGAGCAACCTCCTAAGAAGTACCTCCCTAATATTCACTAGACAAATCACAGCAAACGATAGCCATCAATAAATTAGAAAACCTGTTTACACGCATAAAATAAATAGGGACTTCTGGAGTCAAGCCTGGTATTATTGCTTCCATTTTACAGTATCCCACGTTCAGAAAAAAGAAGTGATTGTTTTTTTTCACGTAACCAGGGATGAGAACAGCACCTTAATCCAATCTCTTTACATTTAGTGACGTCTATAGTTCATAGCTGAAACTGTCTGAATAAAATGTACAGTGAGGAATGAAGAGTTACCTGATTCCACTCCATTTGAAACCTTTGTTCATGCATAATTTGATTATACCATTCAACATTTTAGGAAATCTAATTCAAGAATCTATTCAGTGTTCTTTAAACATGTCAAGGCACCGCAATAATATTATACCGAGTCTACCCTCCTTACATAAATCAAGTTGTTTTGTTTTTACAGCAACTGTGCATTGGCACCACAAAATGCACTTAATACAACATGGTTCTGGAGAGATTAACATGCAAAGCAGTGACAGTGGCTTTGGTTTCCGCGAACAAACCTTAAAACGATGGGGACTGCATGTTTTTGCATTACAAACGTACAGCCAGTTTAAATATGAAATTTGGTCCAAAGGTATAGAGGAAACTGTCAAAATAATTGAAAACAAAAAACACCTACAATCCTAATACAAAACAATGGCCCATTATAAAATGACTCTCTACTAAAACCTCAACTGTAACCATGACAATGTTCAAATTACTATCAGAAAGTGTATCCCAGAGTCAGCCTGTTGGTCGAGTTTTTCTTTTTTCTTTTTTCTAAAAGGAAGTCTTCAAAATATCACTCTTAAAAACTTCGCCCTTGTCCTATAAAACTGAATCTAAACTGTATTGGAAATGCATGTGGAGAGAGAATTCCTGATGAGTGTAAGGCATTTGTTGAAGGAGGTAGATGGCTTTATGGAATTTCCATTTCACGTTCAATACCTACGTATTTCAGAGCGTCAGCTTGACTGTATCTAAAAGAGAAACGTAAACATTAGGTTAGATGGTTCAAAAGCACCTCTCAAAGAAAACACTTTTTTCCTCTCTCTTTTCAAGAAAACACCTCTGCACCTATATGTGACCATGGACCACAAAACCAGCCTCAAGTGTAAATTTTTCTAAATTGAGATTTATAAATCTTAATAAATAAGCTTTCCATTGATGTATGGTTTGTTATGATAGGACAATATTTGGCCGAGATACATGCATCTGATCAGATAAATCTGGAATCTGAGGGTGCAAAAAAACCTAAATACTAAAAATATCTTAATGGAACATGATCTTTACTTGTTGCCAGCCAGCGATTTTGATGATTTTCTCTCAGATTTGATGGCCTCCAGTATATTTTGCTGTATGATTATTTGAATATGCAATACACCAAAATAAAGATCAGAGCCTTTACTTTTAAACAAAAATCTCTTTTGTTCTAGCTTAGCATTTTTTTTTTAATCAACACTTGAATATAAGTAGGATTCATAAAAAATGCATAATTTGAGCAAAAAGGTGAGAAAAATAATTTTTTTATCAAAAACTACTTCTGGATAATATTCAGTACGATTATCAAAGCATAAATACAGTATATCGCTTCCATCAATACCTCCAAAGCTTGCACAGACATATACCACTTCCTGGATCAACATTTTCCTCCGTAACATTATGCAGTTTTCATTTATATGCTATTACTGATGATCGCATTATTTTTGATATGCATCTGTTTACATAAGAGATCGCTAGTTTTTCCGTCCTGTTCACGTGTGTTTTTGTTCGGGAGGTTTTGTGCTTGTTCAGAAGATATATAATAGCGCCCCCGAATGTATAAAAGTGAAAACACGAAAAGCCGTAAAAACTCGTAAGCATTTTCTTCTAAAAGACAAAACTCAATGGCGGGGAAAGCGTTAATATCCTAATGATTTTTGGCATAAAAGAAAAATCTATAATTTTGATCCATACAATATATTGTTGGCTATTGCTACAAATATACCTGTGCCTATATAAAGGGGTCATATGATGCGATTTCAAGTTTTCCTTTCTCTTTGGAGTGTTACAAGCTGATTGTGCATAGATAAGATCCATCAAGTTGCAAAGACTAAAGTCTCAAAACCAAAGAGATATTCTTTATCAAAGTTAAGACTCCCCCACATATCTACCTCACTATGTGGAAATATTTGCATAATGCCGCCCAAGGCGGCGTGGTTTCAGTAACCGCAGTTAGTGTTGAAGCAGCCATGTCAGGGAGACGCTGTGTTTCTAGGCGAAAGCAAAAGCACTTTATTTGGCCTTCCGAAATTAGATGCATTTAGGAATCTTTAAGATTACTTACAACAGAACAGCAATGCATTTTATGGACGACCGTTTCGTGAACCTAGGAGAGGAGGTAATTCTGACTTTGCTATGACAATCTGGCACTTCTGAATCAGCTACTGTTTTGTTATTAGTTTAAGTATTTGCTATTGACTGTTCAAATGCGGAGCTCTGCGCATCATGTGTGTCTGTGTGTGCGCACTTGTCGGAAGGAGGGACTTTGTAGAAAACGAAGCGTTTGAGAGAGGCGGGGCATAGAGGACCTACAATAATGTACAGTATTCGAAAAAGAATTGTGTTTTTTGAACATTAAAGCATGTCAACATATTCTGTTACACCAAATACACAAAATAATGATCTTTAAAAAGCATCATATGACCCCTTTAAGACTGCTTTTGTGGTCCAGGGTCACATGTATTTTTTATTTTTTTACCTGTAGTCAAAGAACAGTTCCTCTCCAGTCTGTATGGCTCTCTTAGCAAATATGCCAATCCTGTGATCCCCATTAACCATCATCACTGTGGGGACAGACAGGAACAGATCATGACATCACATTTTACACACAAAATCCTTTTAGTACAAGATTCTGAGTGACTTACCCTTTGCATAGCAGTTGGGGTTTACAGAGTGGTTGGCAAACCTGATCTTGTTTCCTTTCCTAGTTGCATCAACAACAAAATCTGTGGGTGAAAGGTGGGAGGTTGTCAACCAGTGAGGGGGCGTGTGAACAGCGAACATTTGCAAGATAGAGGTTAGTTACCATTGTTAAGGTTGAACAGGAAGCTGCACATGTATTTGTCATACACCTTGCCTCTGCGGTCTGCCTCATCCTGGGAGATGATCTAGCAGGTAAAAATAGAAACGCGTCACGTAAAAAGGAAACTTCACTGTACGTCATGTAGTCTTGATGTTTATTTAAATTTTTTTTTTTTTTTACATCTCACCTCCCCACAGTACTCGGAGATGAACTCATTTTTCTGAACTGGCTCTTTGATGAAGATTCCCCATCCGGCCACATCAGATGGAGCCAGTAGCAAGTGCTTTTTTTTTTTAAAGAAGAAATGGCATAAATAACCAAGAAAAGAGGGTGTATCACAACTAAATGGTCAAGCAACAGTCTATTAAAGTCTTTTTTTATATTTGTGAAAAATGACATGCATCTTCATGCTGATGTGTGACAGATTAAAATGTACCTTCTTTGCTCCTCTCTGGATGCTAGAGTTCTTGCAGGAGACATTTTTACAGTCCCAGTGATCAGCCGCCCCGCAGGTGAGACACAGGTCAGGGTCACACTCTCGTACGGCCAGGTAACAGGGGCACTGCTTGGTGTTACACTGGGCCTTACAGCGGCAGCCTGGAAACCGGTTCTGACCTGTACAGATAGAAACAGGGTTCCTCCACATTTTCCATTTCAAAATTCCATACTTTTCCAGACTCAAATTTCCAAACCTCTCAGTAGATTTTTGTAGAGCTTGACCGATACATCGTTTTGCCGATATTATCGGCCGATAGGAGCCTGTCGCAGATATATTGTATAGGTGAATATGTCGCCGATATGAGCATTTTTTTTACAGAACATATAACGCACATGAAATGCTTCTAAATGGTGTAAGTTGGTGTATGTTTGCTACTAGCGACTCAGGTCAGTGTAGAGATGTGCGGATGAGCTCAAACTTCACCCGAGTCCGCTACTTCAAATAAATGATCCACCTGTCACCCACCGCCCCTATATTTGATCATCACATTACAATGATTCTAATTCTTAGTTTTGCATGATGATATGATGAATGGATGGTTCATTTTTAACAGCAGATTCAGTGGCGTTAGAGACTAGAGCTGATCTGCGCATCACGGCACGCATCTGCAGCACATTACGGCTCCACGGCCACCGAAGCTGATCGCGGCCACTCAGTCAATGCTTGTGTTTATACCGGCCACGCCGCGGCCCAGAACTCATGCTTATCACATCGGTCACATCACATTTCCTAACTGGGTGTCTACACTGGACGTGAGCGGCGCAACAAAATACAATAGAACCCATTATAATCAGTGATGCTGTCTACACTCTATGCAGTAAACTGATGCCTCATTCTATTTATGACGTGCTGACACAAAGTTCAAATGATTTTCAACGGTCGCAGACACAGTGCCATCATAGTTTGTCAGTACAGTCAGTAACTTAGCAGACTGAAAAGTTAGTATCTTTCTGCAATCCAATAGACGGCAGTGCGGTGGTGGCTTGAGTCTGTTGAATGGTGATTTAACGCTATGTTGTCACCCAGTTGGAGAGACTCAATGCTATAAAGTAAATAAACAATTTCCCCATCTTTTACTCTCACAATGAACTTGTCATACATGTTTGCTACATTAGCCAT